GGGGGGACCCGTTCCTTTACCCTTTGGATGCAAGTTGAACCCTGCCAGCATGATCCCCAAGCACCCCGCCTGGGAGTGTGCCCTGCTGTGGTGAGGCTAGGCAGTGAGGCTACGCAGGGTTCCTGGATTGTGAAACAGGAACTACAGTGGGCAACTCAGAGGTCCCAGTGCTTGCTGGGAAAAGGACACACCTATTATTTGCATTAAGGTATTAAGTCTTTTAATTTCATTTGATCCTCCTGAGGAGAGTCTGGAGTGGAATTTGTTTTCCCCCCTTCTCAGGTGTAGGAATAAACTCAGATAACTGGTTTGTCATAAAGTTCAGACCTGCCTCAGGACTCAAATTCCACATAATGCTTCCGGTACAGTCCACAGTCCTTCTGAAGGGAAATGCCCAACCTCCTTGTGATGCCCCTGGCTCTGGAAGCCCAGGCTGGCATTCCTCCATCTTATCTACTAGCTCCCTACTCACTGTAGTTTGTCCATTAATCAGGGCAATTCTACTGTTTCCATCCCTTTCTACTACTCTCCCAGAGGCCTGATGTCGTAAAGAGGGGAGAGTTTTGACTGATGCCACGGCTCCTTGCAAATACATCTGACTCTGTCATCTCACCATACCCAGTGCCCCCAACCCCATTGTTTTCAGGATAGCATCCTGTGTGTGGTTTATAAAACTCTGGGGTGGTGTCTTTCTTTCTCCCTGCTCTGAGCTTCCCATATTGATTTCCTTAGCACCATGCTGGGTACCTAGGTTTAATAAATGTAATAATGCTGTTATCACTATTTGTCTTTGTAGACCTATTGCCTTGCTGTAGGGTGCATCATGGTTCCCCAGGCTGCCACTTTCTGACTTCTACAGCCAAGCAGGGGCACATTGGGAACTGCAGGTAACGCTCCTACGGCAACGCTGCTCTTCTCTAGAGTCGGGGAAGCCCATATTGGCTCTTTAGTGGAAAATTGACCCAGCAGGTATTAACAGCATGATGTGGTTAAGGAACCTAGTAGAGGCAGGCATTATGGGCTGGCCTGGCCCTGACCTTCAGGACCTTGGTGACTGGAGGAAGGCAGAGGAGACACTTAGATGCTCAGACAGGAACCAATAGACCTGAAAAGGGGTAAGGATACCTGAGTAGGTATACTCAGGAAAGCTTGTGACACTGAACTGGACCCTGAATCTGCAGGATTTGATGAGATGGTGGCTGTGGGGAGGCATGACCTTATGAGAAATACTGAGATTTTTTATTCAGAAACTCTTGTTTTGAATTTTGGCTCCATCACCTAATAACTTTGTGAACTGGGATCAGTTCTTTAACTTTCAGATCCCTGGTTTCATCATTTACAAAATGAGGATAGAAATAGTAACAGGAGTTTTTAGGGTTAATGATAATCGATGTAAAAGCTAGGCATATTCACTGTGCATGAAAAATATATTTAGGAAAAATATATTTAGGTGGAAGGAACACATAAACAAAGGTGTGGAGGAGGCTCTCAAAAAAGAGTTGGGGGAGGAGGTTGGCTCTATCAGTTAGGGAGTGGCAACAGTGTTGGGTATTAGAAACTTTAATCATGGAGTTGGCGGAGGGGGACAATGATTGAACCCTTTTAAAGATTAATTTATTTATGCATACAAGAACTGGGGTATAGGCCAGAGGTTGGGGTGTGTGTGAGAGGATTTACCAGAGACAGAGTGGGGAGCAGAATAGGCAGATCTACTGAAACACACTGCTGAAGGGAGCAGCAGGCAAGAAAGGAGAGGTCTGTGTGCCATGTGGGTCAGCTCCCTGGCTGGTCAGGAGCCCAGCGCTGCTGCAGTGGCTGGGGATAGCTTGATCGTGCTCTCTTTAACCCCTGTGCCATCAGGGAGGCCGATTAGGCCCTTATAAAGACCACAAAACCAAACTTCAGAGACATGAAAAATAATATTTTTCACTGTGCTTAGTGCTTTACATACATTTTTCAGCCCTTAGCAGTCTTATAGGCAGGGAGCTGAGAGAATGGGGAGGCAGTAGCTGGCTCAAGGCCACAAAACTGGCACTGTATTGGCGGGGGTGTGGGGGTGTTCCATGGGGGCCTCCAGCATCTCTCGAAAGGTGCCAGGTTGGGGGTGGAGTGGGTGGCAGGCTACGGGATATCTTTCCCAGGTTATGCAACTAGGCTGAGTGTGGGCCCCAAGCTGTTCCTCCTTAGAAAGTAGCTCGGCTGCAGTTCTCTGCTGGGGCAGATGGAGGTTGAAGAGGATTGGCAGGGAAGCCCATTTCCTGCGGGAGAAGCTGTTTGGAAGCAACTGTGGGTGGGACCCTGTTGCACCCTCCTCTCTCAGCACTGGACAGGTTGCTTTGTGTCTCATTCAGGTCCAGGCTGGGGGTCCCACTCCTGTAGGCCCTCCTCTTCTCACTTTCCCTCTTGTGCCCTGTCTTTGCTCTGGAACTCCCGTCTCACGGGAAGGGGCCTGATCACCAGACTATCTCCCCTGCTTCTGCCTTGATCTTTTAAAAGTGATCCTGAGAAAAAGCAAGTTTCTGAGCATCTCCCATGTGACAGACTGGTGCTCTGGGCTTCCTAGATGTTAATTTAATCCTCCTGCACCCCTATAAAGATAGGCACTGTTGCCCCTATATTACAGGTGAGGAAACCAAGGCTTGGATGGCTAAGTGACTTACCTGAGGTTACATACATGGTAGGAAGTGCTGTTTGGATTAAAACCCAGGCCTTTTTGATGACCATATTTTCCCCTCAAAGCTTCTTTCTCTCTTGATCCTCACTCCACAGCAACAGTCCAGCCCATTTTTCCCTGGTGGGGTGTGAGGCTAGGTGAAACCCTACATGAGGTTGGAGTAGGGGGAGGCCAGAGGGCCTGCAGTGCAGGACAGGAGGGATCAGTGAGGGAGACCTGGTTATGGGGTTGGCGTCTGAAGATGGGCAAGATGGAGAGGAAGTGTGGAGGGCATTTCTTGTGGGAGGCACCAGGAAGAACAGAGGCCTGGTCAGAGGGAAGGGTTGCTGCAAGCTCCAAAGAGGTAGGGCCAGTTGGACAGGTTGGGAGGGGTCACAATGCAGAGGCCCCTGGAGGTTGGGAGGGGGAAGCCACGTCAGGGTTTTGGGGCACTCACAGGTCCCGTGGAGTCCCTGCTGCTGCTGTTGGACTGAGGCTGAAGTCTGTCTCCGGAGTGTGACGCTGATGGGGGACATAAGTGCCCACTCTGCACGTGTGCAGGGGCAGGGCTGTTTGGTGAGGGAAGGGTGGGCTTGTTTGAGGGTCACAGGGATCCCAGAGGGTCAGCCCCTGAGGGCTGAGGGTGTATATACTGGCTTTTAGAACAAAAGATCTGGGTGATTTGGAACAAAACTGGGTGGTTTTAAAATACCAAAATTCATTCTCCCCCAGTTCTAGAGGGGAGAAGTCAGAATCAAGGCCTCAGCAGGGTCTTGTTCCCTCTGAAGGCTCCAGGGAAGAACTCTTTCTTGCTCTCCTAGCGTCTGGTGGCTGCCTGCTATCATCTTTGCATGCTCTTTTCCTTCTGTGTGTATCTGTCTCTGTCCCCCAATTTCCCTCTTCTAAGGACACCAGGCATGGGGTTAGGACCCACCCTAAACCCTTCTGACCTCATCTTGGTTACATCTATGAGGTCTTAGGTCTCAATAAGGCCACATTCACAGGTGGGGGTTAGGGCTTGAAGGCATCATTTTTGGGTACACCATTCAACACACACAGGGAGCTTGAGGGGAGGAAGTCCCTCTGGGAGTCACACGAGCATACATCTGAAAAAAGACGGGAGTAGTATCAGCTGGCTGCTTGACGTGTGGTCCTGGCTCAGCAGCAGCGGATTCTCGGGACCTCTCCAGGCCTGCCGTGTGACAGAGTCTGCAGGTGGTTGGTTGGCACACTGCAGGTTGAGAAGCGCTGCCTTAGTGGACATCGAGTGTTCTTCTTCCCACCGCGGACAGTCTCGGCGTCAGTCTGCAGCCTGCCAGGTTGGCCGCCAGGCACCACACTGTCCTGGGTCTCTGTTCCCGTGACGTGCTCTCAAGTTTCTCTGTATCCCATGTCGAGGTTGCCCATGTGCTGACCCTTTCCGGCAAGTGCTGGGCTTGCTGAGCCAGGTCCAACTTTTTGCTGTTTGTATGTTGCCATGGACATCTTTGTATGGTTCCTTTCAGGTTAGTTCCTTGGGAAGACGTTTCTGGAATCAGAGTGTATGAGCAGTCACACCGCTGGCAGGTACCTGTGGAGACTGACCTCGCACGGTGTCACTGTTCTACCCAGTGCACATAGGGCCCCTCATTGGGAGGTTAAAGTGGCAGGAAAGATTTTGGAGTCAGGCCAGCATGAAAATCTGTTAGTGTTTTGTTTGATTTTTACTGTGTGACATTGGGCAAATCACTTAACATCTCTGAGCTGAGGGTTGCTCTCCTATCTCCTTGTAATAGTGTCATACACTTTGCAGGGATTTTATAAAGCTGATAACACCACGGAGTTCCACTTACTGAACACTTCTGCAAGTTGCCTCGTGTGTCCTCACATTCTCTGCAGGGTCGGCACAACTGTCCCCTTCCCCCTTTTACAGAAAAGGAAGCACACCTGGGTCTAGTAGCTTGCCTGAGCCTGCGATGTAGGCACTTTGTGTGTCCACGCCCAGGGGTGTCACGTTCAGAATGGTAAGGCCGGGGGTGGGGCCCAAAGAAGGTCCCGAGCACACGGCTCTAGCACACGGCTCTGCACACGTGGCTTGGCGCACCCTGGGTGCCTGGCCCCGCCCCCGGCTCTCTGTCTCCCTGGTTGACTCCGGGTAGCGGTAGCCAGCTCAGCATTGTTCAGCTGCACTTCATTGATGAGTCCCAGCTCTGTTTGCTGTACAAACCTTGTCCCAGTGGAAATGAGTCTTTAAATGACTCAGGTCTGAGGATAGAGCAGAGCTGGCTCTGATTCCCGAAGCTGACTGGTTTTTTCTTCTCTAGGAACAAGGATGGCCAGACTACCTGTGGCCGTGAGCCCTACTCATTGCTCCTGGGGCTGAGCTCCGATGGCAGCCATGGGGCCGCGTGGGCCCCAGGCCTGGTTGTTGAGCCTTCCAACGGCAGTGGTCTATGGCTCCCTGGCCCTCTTCATCTCTGTCCTGCACAATGTGTTTCTGCTCTACTACGTGGACACCTTTGTCTCGGTGTACAAAATCAACAAAGTGGCCTTTTGGGTCGGAGAGGTAGGCCAGTGCTGGGGGGGGCAGCCCATGTGGGAGTAAGGAGATTATGCTGTGGGGTCCCAGTCAGTCAGCAGCATGGGGCAGGTCAGGTTCCCCATGGAGACTTGGCAAGAAAAGATGGTGCTTTGGAGGCCTTGATGGCTTCTTCAGTGGGAGTTAGATCGGCTTTTATGGCCACTGTCCTGTAAGCCACACACTGTTCTGGGTATTTGCGTGATTACTCATGGACATTACTCCGTCAGCTGGGCTACGCTTACTGGCTGGGCCCTGGGTAGTGGGCGTTTGATGGGAGCAGTGGCTGGTAGTGTGGGTTCTAGCAGAGGGACTGACATGAGCAAAGGTTTGTAGGTAGGAAAGCTGGGACCGTCTCTGAGGGGTGGGGAGCAGGATGGGATAGGGAAGAGGAGAGGAGGCTGTAAGGAGCCCGCCTGCCCCATCTCCCCTCTGCCCGCAGACGGTGTTTCTCCTCTGGAACAGCCTCAACGACCCTCTCTTCGGCTGGCTGAGTGACCGCCAGTTCCTCAGCTCACAGCCCCGGTTTGTGTCTTGGGGACTGATAAGTGGTTCTGACTCTCCCCACACCTCCCCAGGCCTGGGGGGCCCCTGCCCATACGTGGAGTGAGGAAAGAAAGGGGTGGGGCATTTTCAGTATTGTTAGGCTTCCTTTCTTCCGGAATTCAGGTAGCAGAAGTGGCCTTGACTAACTTGTCTTGCTCACCTGGGGAGAGATTTACCCCGGCTTGGCTTGTCGGTCCGTAGGACTGGGCAATGTGCCGCACCCACTTGCTGCTTCTGGCAGATTCCCTTACCTCATCCCCGCTTGGGCCCATCGCTGTCCCCATCACCCTTTGGCCATCAGCCCTGGGAGGCTGGCAAGAGGCAGAGGCGTGTGCCCACCGTGGGTTATGCTTCCTAAACCCGAGGCTGACGACCCAGCGTTCAGCGGAACCACTGTCCCTCCTCTGGGGCAGGGGCAAGGGGCCTGTTAAGCCACCCCCAACATCCCTCCTCTCCCTGGCAGGTCTGGCGCTGGGCTCTCTTCGAGGGCCGTGGTGCTGACACGGGTGCGGGCACTGGGCTGGCATGGGCCCCTGCTGGCACTGTCGTTCCTGGCGTTCTGGGTGCCCTGGGCCCCAGCTGGCCTGCAGTTCTTGCTGTGCCTGTGCCTCTATGATGGCTTCCTGACGCTCGTGGACCTGCACCATCATGCCTTGCTGGCTGACCTGGCCCTCTCAGCCCACGACCGCACCCACCTCAACTTCTACTGCTCCCTCTTCAGTGCGGCTGGCTCCCTCTCTGTCTTTGCCTCCTATGCCTTCTGGAACAAGGAGGACTTCTCTTCTTTCCGCGCCTTCTGTGTGGCACTGGCCGCTGGCTCTGGGCTGGGCTTTGTGGGGGCCACCCGGCTGCTGAGGCGGCGGGTTGAGGCGGCCGGCAGGGAGCCAGGGGGCCCGGCCACGGCTGTGGATGGTAGGTGAGTAGCCAGCCCCAGCTCTCCCGGCCTCTGAGGCTGATTTCAACACTGGGTCTCCTGGCTGACGGTGCTGCCCTGGGCGGGAGGGGGCTCTCACCCAGCCCTAGGCTGCTCTTGACTCCCCCCTGCCCCTTAGCCTGTGTGGAGAGGAGCTGCTTGTGGGCCGCGAGGAGGCGGGCAGCATCACCCTGGGCCAGTATCTCCGGCAGCTGGCACGCCACCGGAACTTCCTGTGGTTCGTGGGCATGGACCTGGTGCAGGTATGGGGAGCTGACCCCCCTCCTCCCCTGAAGGGGGACAGGCTCCTCAAAAGCTGAGAAATCAGTTCTAGGCCTCCTGTGAGCACTGCTGGGTGATTTGATGGCAGGAACACAGGTTGGGTAGTTCGGAAACCTGGACTCTAGCACCGTCTGAGCCCCGGCTCCCTGCGTGGTGTCAGGCAGGTCTCCGCCGCTTGGGCTTTGTCTGCGCCTGCACAGTGAGGGTGTGGAGAAGGTGCCTTTGCGGAAGGTGACAATCTTTTTTTTTTTTTTTAAAGATTTATTTATTTATTCATACAGAACTGGGGTACAGGCCAGAGATGCGGTGGGTGAGAGGATTCACCAGAGACAGAGCGGGGAGCAGAACAGGCAGATCGATGAAGTCCACTGCTGGGGGAGCAGCGGGCGGGTCAGGAGAGGTCTGCTGCACCCTGTGGGTCACCTCCAGGGTGGGGATCGAACTCATGCGGAAGTGGCTCAAGCTTCTTAGTGCAGCGCTTTAACCCGCCGCGCCACCAGGGAGGCCCCGGTGACAATCTTTTTAAAACACCAAGTGCCACATCTAAAACATGTAGTGTATAAAAGAGCCATATTTAAAAGTAGATTATTTTTATGCTATTAAGATTTCTCACTGAGGCATTTTCAGGTTAAAGGAAAATCTTGTAATCGTTCTAGTGGCAATTTTATCATATCTTGTAACTTTTAGCAGAATTCAGATAGGCGACGGGAGCTTGGTTTTAGGTTTCGCTCTGGCGTGGTCCTCGTCTCGGGAACGGGCGTAAAGGCTGCCCTTGCTGTGGAGGACCAGGGTCCCGTGCTCCCCTGTCGGCTCTCGCCCGTTCCTGGCTGCCTCTGGCCCGCAGCCTCCCACTGCCCTGTTGGGTTGCAGGTCTTCCACTGCCACTTCAACAGCAACTTCTTCCCCCTCTTCCTGGAGCATCTGTTGTCAGACCACATCTCCCTCTCCACGGGCTCCTTCCTGTTGGGTGAGTGGGTGCCGGGGCAGGCTGGAGGACTCAGGTGCACTCAGAACCCCTAGCCAGCTGAAGGCTATTTCTCCAGCTGGGTGGTTGCGGAGGTCACTTTCAAGCCCCCAGCTCTCCGAGGGGTGGAGCGGGTGGTGGGCTGAGGCAGTAGAGCTGCCTCAGTGCTGTCCTCTAGGGGATGGCGCCCCCCTCACCGCCCCCCCCAGGCAGCGTGGCACAACCCAGCCCCTGAGTCGTCATTCCAGTTATTCACTGTGTTTTCTCCAATCTCTTTGGGTCTCATTTTTCATCCATCAAGCACAGGTTATGGTTCTTATATTAAAGGGTTGTGGGGGTTAAATAATGGGTGAAGCTCTTAGCTCAGAGGCTGGCACATCTCTCTGATTTTGGGGGTTAAAATGCAGATCCCTGTGGACACTGCCTGTTCCCTGACAGGGCCCCGCATCTTCTCCCCAGGCATCTCCTATGTTGCTCCCCACCTCAACAACCTCTACTTCCTGTCCCTGTGCCGGCGCTGGGGTGTCTACGCTGTGGTGTGGGGCCTTTTCCTGCTCAAGTTGGGCCTGAGCCTGCTGATGCTGTTGGCTGGCCCAGACCACCCCAGCCTGCTCTGCCTCTTCATTGCCAGGTATGTGCAATCCTCTCTCACCCCCACACCTCTGACTCACCCCTCACCTTTCCTTGCTTTCTCTCTGGCAGCAACCGTGTCTTCACTGAGGGCACCTGTAAACTGTTGACCTTGGTGGTCACTGACCTGGTGGATGAGGACCTGGTGCTGAACCACCGCAAGCAGGCAGCCTCGGCGCTCCTCTTTGGCATGGTTGCCCTGGTGACCAAGCCAGGCCAGACCTTTGCCCCGCTGCTGGGCACCTGGCTGCTGTGCTTCTACACAGGTAGGAGGCTGGGGCTGGCAGGGGCTCTCGAAGCTCCAAGGAGCTGTGCTCACCCGATAGTCCGGTCCAGTGGGGGGAGAGAATGCAGCTGGCCGACGGGCTGTGCCGGAACATTCTGGATGCCACCCCTCTTCTGGGCGGGTAGAGGGGGCGTCTCTGTTTCTTCTGTTCTTTCAGTAGTTCGTTGTTTCAACAAATTTGCAGAGAATGCCTGTGCCAGGTGCTGCCCTAGGTGCTCCTTGGGTGATGAGTGGGACCGACAAGGTCTTTGCCATCATTGAGTTTATAGTGGGATGAGGTTGGCAGTAAATCGCCAAACAAGAAAATAGCATGTACTGATAAGTGTGATGGTAAAAATAGTGTGGTTGAGAAGCTGCTTTGGAGGAGCTGACACCGTGGATAGCCACTGAGTAGCAAGGATTTCGTGTTGCAAGATCTCAGCAAATCCCAGACAGGTGGCACGTGCAGAGGTCCAAGGTATTGGGAGTGGTAGAAGGCGAGATTGGAAGAGGGAGGAGACACTGGAGACACAGGAGAATGAAGAGGACCAAGGAGGGGCAGGCTGGCCAGCAGCAAAGCCTGTCCCGTAACCAGGGGGCGGCGCTCTGAGGGGCCTCAGTGGCCACTGTCACTACAACTGCCCCCTCCCACCAGGGGAAGCAGACTAGGGCCAGGGTTAGGATTTTTCTTGGTGCAAACAGATTTGTTTTTAAAAGCCGACTCTGGCAGCTGTATGGAAAGTGGATTGTAGGATGGCTGTGACAGGCAGGAGAGACCTGTACCTGAGTGGCCTGGGGGGTGCTAGGAAGCAGTGTTTAGGCTTGAGGTGTTTTGGCATTGGGGAAGATGAAGGACTGACTGTTGGGAGTGATGATCTTAACGGACGAACGCAGGGTGGCTTTGAGGGTTTCACCCGAGCTACTGGGTGGACTCACTAGGAAGGGAAGACGGCAGAGGGTGGGGTGAGGAGCCAGGTTGGGGAAGGAGTGAAGACTGCTATGTGGTGAGGTGGGCTTTGGAGGAGACCAGGGTTGACCATGTTCTTCCTGCGTGCTCTTGTCCTAGGTCATGATCTCTTCCAGCAGCCCCCGCTCACTCCTGTGGGGAGTGCCCAGCCCTGGCCAGAGCCCCCGGCCCCACCCCCAGTGCAGGCCCCCACGCTCCGCCAGGGCTGCTTCTACCTGCTGGTGCTTGTGCCCATCACCTGCGCTCTGCTGCAGTTGTTCACCTGGTCCCAGTTCACGCTGCACGGGAGACGCCTGCACATGGTCAAAGCCCAGCGCCAGAGCCTGACCCAGGCCCACACCATGGACATTAAAACAGTGTGAGCAGTGTGGCCAGGTCGTTCTGCTGTGGACACTCACTGCCCACATCCTGGGAGGGAGCCACGTTTGCCCATCTGTGTCTACTCCTCTGCCTTTTTTGGTTGTAGCCTGGAGAACAGAGGGCAGAATGGGTGCTCTGGGGGCCAAGCCAGGAGTGCCACGGGGTCTAAGATTCTGCCTCTGTGTCCATCGTAGCATGGGCAAGGGCTAGAATGTCTGTGCTCAGGGATCTGCCTCCTCCTGTGGGGCAGGAGAATGAAGAGGACCAAGGAGGGGCAGGCTGGCCAGCAGCAAAGCCTGTCCCGTAACCACGGGGGCGGTGCTCTGAGGGGCCTCAGTGGCCACTGTCACTACAACTGCTCCCTCCCACCAGGGGAAGCAGACTAGAAGTGCCGGCACCTCCCTTCTGGTGGTTTCCTTCAGAAGTCTCTGCTTCAGCCGTGCCTGGAGCCTCTGTCAGTGTTAAGTGCCCCCCACCCCAGCCCACCTGGCTCTAGAGGTTCATCTCATCAGGCTGTTTGAAGTCAGTCATTCTGTTCCCGTTACTGAGGTCTGTGCTGCGTGGGGAACTGGAGTGCTGGAGATCAGGGTCCCTCACCTAGTAGGAAAAGCACCCTGAGCGTTTTTTCCAAAGGTGATCGGGGGTTACCGCATTGGCTCAATGAGGAAGCAGGGAGAATGTGCAGGTAGCTCTTGGGGATTGGGAGCAAGCTGGCTTTCAGGCTGGCACCGCGCTACCCTGGACATGGGCAGGGGAGGGCACTCCTCTAGGCCGGAGGGCCTCAGCCTGAGACTTCAGGGAACTTTACAAATGTTGAAGCCTGAGTTTTGTTTCTCTGCATGCTGACTCCATGGGTTTGGAGTGTAGCTTGGGCACTGGGGTTTTGGATAGCTCTGGTAATTTTTCCTGTAGTTGAGACTGAGAATCTTGGCTCTAGAACATTTGGGGGCCAGGCATCCCTGGCCCCACCCACTTTGCCAGCAGCACTCCCCAGCCATCCCCAGGCAAACGTCTCCAGGCAAACGTCTCCAGACAAGAGAGCACTGTATCTGGGAGGGCAAAACTGACCTGAGAGGGAACCGCTGCTGTGGGTCTTGGCTTTTTGAGGGTCTGCTCAGTGGTTGAGAACTTTAGCTCTAAGGCTCTACAGCCTGGGTTCAATCCTAGCTAATAAAGGGCAGAATTTTAGGAAACACCTAATCTGCATTGTTTTGTCTTCTGTAAAATGAATAATAAAGACAATTTGCAGGGTCATTGTCAATGTTGGTTGAACATTTGCAAAGGGCCTGGCAATTTTTTGCTAAGTACAAGTTAAGAAGGGAGCTGTTAAAACTTGCCCCCCACATTCTGGATGAAATCGCATCTGTGGGTTCAAATGTGTACACAGGGCTGAGACCCTCAGTGCCTGAACCTGGGCTTTGGCGTGAACACTTCTATCTTGACAGGCTGGGACTTGGGCTGAGGCCTGGCCACTCTGGTTAGTGCAGCAGCTCCCTCTAGAGGACGGCTGAGGCCCAGCCCGACACCTCAGGTTCAGGACGCAGCTCCAGCTTCAAACAGACCAGCTGATGTGTGTATTGGAACGACTTTATTTAAGTACATGGGGCCCCACCAGGCAATGTGGTTTGTGTGAGGCTGTGCAGGGGACAAGCTTGGGCTAAAAGAAGGGAGGTGAGCTGGTTAAGTACACTGCAGTCCACGGGTTGCCACATCGCTTTCACACACACCTGCTGTGGCCCACAGCCAGCAGGACCTTTTGGCCATCGGATGGCATGGGGAGAATACTGATGGAAGCGGGGATGGGGTGGGTCTTGGTGTCACAGGTGAGGGTGCCAGTGAAGATGTTCTAGCCCCAGCCATGCACCATCTGGGCGGAAGGGCCTTTGGGCCACTGCTAGGCCAGCCTAGTCCAGGGGAGGCACCTAGACCAGAGATCAGCCTGGGCCTTGGCACTCAGCTCCGGGGACAATGGTCTGGTCTCCTTCCTCTCTAAGTAAGTCCAAAGTCAAGATGGCACAGAATCATCCCAGAGGGGCCTTTCGTTGTTACAACTTCTGCACATCCCCACCTCCATCAGCCGGAGTGGGTAAAGGCAACTTGGTTAATTGCAGCTTTCTCTAGACCTAAAGGGGCTGGGTTCCCAATACTCCTCTTTTGCCAGGAGCCTCTGCCAATGCGTGGTTCTACCTCCTACTTCAGAAAAACCCAACCAGTGACCAGCCTGCTGAGTCCAGGGCAGTGAGCTAGTGGAAGAGCAAAGAGGGAAATGGAGTGACTGATTGCAGCCTGAATCCCAGACGGCCCCGAGGCCTGTGGGGACCCTCAGCCTGCCATCAGCAGGATGTGGCCGGGCCTTGAGTGCCGCGCTAAGCTTAGGTGCTGTAAACATTAGTGTGAATGGGACGACTGTAGCAGGAGGCAGTGTGAGCTCCCTCTCTCAGTCCCCAAACTGAACAAACACTTCAATAAATAAAACTGAAAATGGCCTTGCCCAAGGAGAAAGGAAAAGCAAGGAAGGGGGTCTGCAGCCAAGAGGCTCCTTGAGCCTGGGTGGGGACTGGGGCATGAACTCAGGTTTCCAAAGTGGCACTACGCCTGCCCCCCTCCAGTGCCCTTTGTGGTCCTGTCCCCAGGAAAGGCTGAAGGTAGCCTGCCGTCTGACCGGAGTCAGTAATAGCTCCTGGAGTGCTTGTCCATCTTCCCAAACCAAAACTGCAACAAGACCAGACAGAACTGCACCCCGGCCCCAGGCCTCAGCTATGATCAAGAGACAGCAAGAGCAGAATGAGTAAGGGGAGACTGCAGCTGCCTTGGGCCCCAGGCACCTTTGGGGTGGGGTGAGGGTGGGGTGGCCCCGCCTAGGATGGGCAGCAGTAAGGTCTCCCAGGGTTGGGTTACCTCCCTCTCTGACTTCCTATGGTAGTAAACATCGTCCCACAAGTCAAAGGCCCAGCTGACGAGGGGGTGGGGCCCTCTGCCAGCACTCCCCGTCAGGGGCCAGTTAGTGGTCAACCCCTGGCCTTGGGCCGTCACCATTGTGGTTAGTTCATCGTCCTTTCTGGGCCCTGGGATCCCTGGGCCACACGGCACTCGCATCTGTGCGCTCACTCGCATCCACACACCCGTACACACTCACACACACAAGCAGTTCCTCGCAAACATTCCGACTCAAGAAAGCGAGTTTTAAAGTTAACTTCAGAGAGAGGTGAAGATGCTGTCCCAACATTAGAAGGTTTTCCTGTGGATGGATCGGGCACCATCTTCCTCATATTCCTTCTTGGAAACCCACATCTTCTTAAAGGTGTCCAGGGAGGCAAGGATAGAGCCCCTGCAGTGGAGGGAACACAAAGAAACACTGTGAGAGAGCGGGGATATTTGTGGAGCCAACCCATCCCCACGGGGCCAAGCTTTGAAGGCATGGGTGGGAGGGGGAATCAGTGCCTTAGCTTCCCAGAAGAACTACTCACCCAATCCATGTGGAATAAAGTCTCTCCTGAGGTGCAGATATCTGCAAGGGGCAGTGGAAAGAGGCATGTGAGACTTCACCCTCCCCTCTCTCCCTCCCAAGCTCATCTTCGGGCCCAGTTCTTAGCCCTCAAGCCAGTGGATGCACGGCACACAATAGCCATGTTCTTTGAAGCTATGTCCCTGTGGCCTCTCTGGGGGCACTGGGGTCCATGTGATGCTCACTTGGAAAAGCAAGTTTCAAGTGGCCCGAAGTATCTTCAGCTCCCAGGAAAGCGATTTGGGGGCAGGAGTCAACGGGCTGGGGTGAGAGGGCTAGGCCCTGCTCACCTGCCTTCACTTCCTTTTCCTCAGGCAGGCCAGCTCCCCATCAGAAGTCTATTAAGTTGGACATGTCACAGTGGGCAGCAAGAGTCAAGCCCCTGTCAATGGAAGTTTCCCCGAAAGACTAGAGGTGGGGGCTCAGCTTTGCACTTGCTCCAGCCGGGTCGGCTTAGGACTGCCCTCCTTTTGTGAAGAGGGAGCATGAGAACGGACTGTTCCCTGTGCCAGGCTTCAGAGGCAGGGTGGAAGCCTGGAGCAACCTGGAGGAACCTGTGTAGCCCTGGCTGCCGGAAGAGCGCAGTAGAGCAGGCGCAGACACGCCGCCCTGGGGCGCTCCAGCTGCACCCAGCCCTGCCCCCCCAGGGTCCTACCCGGATCTTCACGTCTTTCGGAGCCAGCTTCTTCACCTCGCTCAGTAGTCTGTCACCGAAACCTGAATGTGCAGAAAGGCGAACCTCCAGTCAATCATCTAGGGGTCTGGGGCCAGCAGCATCTGGAAGCGTCTTGGGGAAGGGCCCTGAGAGCAAAACCAACCTTTGAACAGGGTGGAGCCTCCTGAGAGGACGATGTTAGAGAAAAGTGTGCGCCGCAGGTCCATGTCAGACTTCTGGATGGCAAACACTAGCACCTCGTGGATGCCTTCACTCTCCTCGCCGATCAGGTCTGGTCTGAACAGGAGCTCAGGGGCCCGGAACCGGGAAGGACCAATCTGCAGATGAAGGTCAAGTTTGAGGGTAGGTGGGGCCCTTTGGGAACCGGGATGGAAGCGAACCCCCTGCCTATATCCTCTTCCCCAGGTGGCAGTGAAAAGATCTATGGCAAGAGCCTCAGGAGTACAGTAGGGCTCCTGGGTACAAGCAGGGCTCCCGGAGGATGAGAAGGAAGCAGGGCCTGTGTCTAGCCCCGCTGGGAAACCAGGGTTAACACCCTGACTTAGTAGTGCATGGGCATCTCTTCCTCCCAGTTACTGTCCAAGGAAAGGTGACTCACTCTGCTGTGTCCAAGTGGCTAAGGACGGCACTCACTACCCCGCTCCCTCTCCCCATCCCGACCTAGGAAAATGTCTCTGGTGCCTCTTCTTCACACAGGAGAAGGAAAGTCCCAGCCACCTTGATCTGTAGGGGTCAGTGCTGCTCAGCCCCCACAGGGCATTCTCTGTGGGCCCAGAGCTCTTAGGGGCCTGAAGGAAGCAAGGGGAGAGGTCTGGTCGCCTACCTCAATGGTGCTGCCGTCAGGCAGGTAGTACTGAGCCTTCTCCGTCTCTAGTGTTTCATCCTTCTGGGGGTTTATGGACAAGTAGCAGGCTCTCTGCAGAACCAAGCACAATGGTCAGGCCAGCAGGAAACCCCGTACCTATCTGGTCAAAGTGCCAGGGGAGTGATGCGCTGCTGCAGAAATCTGCTCCTACACGGTAACCACTGTGGAGGTCAGAAGAGCTGTTGCCCTGAGTAGGGAGGCCACTGTTGGCACTAGGGTAGAGGTCCTACCTGCTCCACCATCTGGTGGGCAAACTTCGAAACTTAGCTCCTTGCATTTGGGTCTGAGACCACCACCCAATTTTAGTCCAGGCCCAGACATCTGTCTCCAACTATTAAAAGGGCTCTGGGTGCCCCTGCAGGTTTCCTGGCGCCAGAGGTGGCAAGAGGGCTCAATTTACTTAAAAACACAAACTGGAGCTTTTCTGCCCACCTATGACTATGCAGGTGCCTCTCTTTCTCCTTTTCCTAACAAACCTGCCCTTTATAATTGTGAAAAAGCAAAACTCCCATTCTGGCTTCTTCAAGGATACAAGAACATGATTTGTACATTAGGTACAGAAAACATAATGAACACCCCCTACACACAATAATACCCAGCTTAAAACCAGAAGCAGCTTCTCTCCCCCCCTCCAGATGGCAGCACTTGGGGAAGGTGAATCTGTCACGGTGAGATTCAGACCGCACAGTTGCCAGTAGGCCTGGCTAGTGAGAACAGTCTGGTTAGGGGACACCTGCCCCAAACCCCTGGAAGTTTGCGTCTCTTTATTCAAGGTCACAGAGGTCCTAGCTGCACTGCTCCCCTTCTCATCCATCCTGGGACCCAGGGGAAAGCACTCACTTCTTTTATGGCCTTGACAATCTCAAATTCCGAGGAAGAGTGGAAATCATAGCCCTCCTTACGTAGGTAGAGGCGAAGGAAGCGAGAGACGTCTCGGCCAGCGATGTCGATGCGCATGATTGAGTGGGGCATGGCAAAGCCCTCGTAAATGGGCACGGCGTGGGTGACACCATCCCCAGAATCCAGCACCACTCCTGTGGTCCTGCCTGTGGCGTAACTGAAGCAGAGAGGCACAATTACTAACCCTGCCTCCTCGCTCTGGGAAGAATCTCATTTGTTTTTAGTATTCATGTGAGGTAAAGGAAGCCAGGGCCTCCTTTCTCCAGGGGCCTTAGAAAGGACTGAGCCCTAAGAAAGCTGGGCACTAAAGCAAGTCTCAGAACACCTGAATGAAAGGCACTGCACTTCTCCAAGGCTCCCAGAGGAGCGGGTCTGACCTGCTTTAGGGGTCAAGTCTAAGGGGCAGATTTTACTCTCTTGACAAGAGGAAAAAGGTTATTGGGGTGAAGCAAGAAAAGTAAATGAATAAAGGAAAATAACAATATTTCATTCTGGGACCTCCCTATGCTGTGCAATGGCTTAAAGCACAGCACTGTGATGCTATCCCCAGGCACTGCAGCACAAGTCAGATCCCCAGCCAGGGGGGTGACACACACGGCGTGGCAGACCTCTCTTGTCTCACCCGCTGCTCCCCCCAGCAGTGTATTTCAGTCAGTCTGCCTGTTCTGCTCCCCACTCTCTCTGGTGAATCCTCTCACTCCCTGAATGTCTGGCCTGCACCCCAGTTCTGTATGCATAAATAAATAACTAAATCTTTAAAAGAAAAAAAAGCATATTTTATTCCAGGGCCTTCCTGGTGGCACAGGAGTTAAAGTCTCAGTGCTATCAAGCTGTTGCCAGCCACTGAAACCTGAGTTCAATCCCCAGCTATGGAGCTGACCCATATGGCACAGCAGACCTCTCCTGTCTTGCCTGTTGCTCCCCTCAGCAGTGTATTTCAGGAGATCTGCCTGTTCTGCTCCCCACTCTGTTTCTGATGAATCCTGTTACCCTCTGGCCCACACTCCAGTTCTTGTACGTATAAATAAAAATAAATCTTAACAAAACATATTTTTGCTTCCACAGAACAAAGCAGCTTTTGCCACAGGGCTCTCTAGGTCTGTCAAGTTTTTTTCTTTTGGCAGCAGCAAGGGCACAGGCATCTATTTCTGTGATATGAGGGAAAGAATGACCCTAGCTAAAATGGCAACTGCTGTCAGTGCCAGCTGATTCTGCCCTATAGTGGGGATGCAGGCCCACCCCATGTTACCAGCTATTTCTGTTTCCCCCAGAGAAATGAGAAATTGAGATTTTGTTAGGAAATTTCCCAATTTTTAAATGCTGCTTCAGTTTCTAAATGGGTCATACTTATTCTACTTGCAGGTCACTGGTGTAGTCTTGGGAGCAGATTGTATAGTTTGGTGTGAGACAGGCTGGGAGAATCACAGGAATATGAGAACAGGACAATAGTGTTTTTGCCACATTCCTTTCACCAGCTTCACATAGCACCTGGCCCAAGTAGGCCTTGAATAAACAACTGAACCTATTATAGGAATGTTCCAGAAGGTCTCTAATGCATGTGGCCTTCCCAGGCAGCCCAGCTTAGCTCCTCAGGGTGCCAAACCAGCTGAGAGTATGGGCACTGAGTGCTGGCCTCAGTACTCCCCTCCCCACTACCTTCAACCTTTCCGTGGTAGGGAGGCTCACGTCACTCTGAACCAACAACCCCAAGCTGCCTCTGTTCTGCCAAAGGATTGCTTCTCCCCCAGCCGACCAAGCTAGCCTGTCAGGCTGCTACTCACAGGCTGAGCACAGCTTGCATGGAGATGAAAAGGGCAGGCACATTGAAGGTCTCAAAGAAAACTTCAGCAGCTCGTTCCCGGTTTTTCCGTGGGTTTAAAGGTGCCTCCGTCAAGAGCACAGGATGCTGATGAGAGATGCCGAGATGGCAATCAGGGAGAGGCCAGGCTTCCACCCCTCACTAGCAGCAAGGAAATGCCCCTACTTGGCTGGCTAGAACCCTTAGTCAGCCTCCCTCCAAAAACATGCAAGTTGGCTGTGTCAACCATGTCAGTTTCTCAACTTTCCAAATTCATGCCTTCTTTCTCCCCTGCCTTGCCCTCCAAGATTCCTAATGGGCTCCAGTATCTACTACACATCTCCAGTTGTCAAAAAGAGTTTGCTAAACTCTAAATTCTGGATTATCATGATAAAAAAGCTTTTTTTTTCCCTTCAAAATATACAACTGAATTTCAATATTGAACATGTTTTTTAAAATGAGATCTGTCCCTCCCCTGGAACTTCTGATAGCTTAGTATGCATTCTCTTTTCTAAAGATTTATTTATTTATGCATACAAGAACTGGGGTGTAGGCCAGAGGTGTTGGGGAGGTGAGAGGAGTCATCAGACAGAATGAGGAGCAGAACAGTCAGATCTACTAAACACACTGCTGAGGGGAGCAGTGCATGAGACGAAAGGGCTGCTGACCATGTGGGTCAGCTCCCTGGCTGGAGACTGAACTCATGTTGCAGTGGATAGTGCTGTGTCTTTAACCCCTGTGCCACTAGGGAGGCCCACTTTTATGTTTCTGAGGTGAGTTACATCCTTCCTTAGAAGTTAGAGCATAGGCTCTCAAGTCTGAAAGATGTGGATTTGAATCCTGGTTCTATTATTTTATTTACCAGCTGATCTTAAACACGACTTGGTTACCTGTTCCCTTGTTTGTGTAATGGAGATATAGCTTACAGGAGTGGTGTGAGGATTAAATGTGAACATAACGGGAACTCCTTCATGTTGTAGGGGTTAAGTCTCAGTGCTACCCCACAATGGCTTGAGTTCGATGTCTGGCCAGAGAGTTGACCCATGTAAGGTGCAAAAGACCTCTTGTGTCATCCACTGCTCCCCTCAGCAGTGTTTCAGTAGGTCCACCTGTTCTGCTCCCCACTTGTCTCTGCTGAATCCTCTCACTACTTCCCATCCCCACTTCTGGTCTATACCCCAATTCTATGCATAAATAAATAAATCTTTAAACAAAAATTTGAACATCACTGACCCATAGTAAGACTCAAAACACTCTTGACCACTGTCACTGTCATTTCTATCTCTGGGCTGGGGTCTGCCCAGCTCTGCACACCCTACAGGGTAGCCCGGTACACAAGACCCTCACCTCCTCTGAGAAAGTCTGCAGCTGGTCCTTAGAATAGACGTACTGCCAGATGCGCTCCATGTCATTCCAGTCCTTGACAATGCCGTGCTCCATCGGGTAGCGGATGGACAGCAGCCCTCGGTGCTCCTGGGGGCAGAGAGCAGGCCTCACAGTAGCTGCTGTTATCTTCTCAGTCGGCTGCCTGGTGGACCCTGCTCTTCCACAACTGAGCTCCCAGCCTGCAGTCCTCACTTAGGCAGAGGGAGGGCACCATTCTCCAAGACTCTAACGTGTATGTGCAAACTGCCCAAGCAGAGGGCTTCTGGATTTCCACGAACCCTCAGGGTCTCTTAGGCTAGTGACAGGAGGCACCCTCCTCATTGCTGGGTCCCAGGGGATAATCTCCTGGCTGCCACCTCTGAGTCTCAGTATTGGCGCCAAGACTGGCAACAACGACTCAGCTTCTAGAAGCTGCCTGAAGGCTCAGCCAAACTGTGCTAATTAACTTATCACCAGGGTACCCCACCCAGATTCTCCTCCAAATCCTTTTTGCCAAAAAATAACCAAGCCAGTCAACTTGGCAAGGCTGTGGTAGAATACAGAAAAAAGACAAAGCCCTGTTTTCTAGACTGGTCTCTGTGTCCCAAAGTGGAGCTGCAGGCATCTCTCCAAGATCAGAGGCTTCTCCTGGGAGGAATAAACCGAATAGGCCTAGAGCAAGAACCTAAAGGGAGATTTTCAGAGGGCATTTTCTTGTTCTTGGACATTTCCCATGTGGGGAATGGTGAAGGGCCTCTGTTGGCCAAGGATTCTTCAGTAGGCTTGGGAATTACCTCAGCTTTGGGGCCGATGAAGATGTCACCTTCGAGGGCTCCAGCCATGACACGAACATGCTTGGGTCTGCCCACACTACAAGAGAAAGCAGAGAGGGCCATTACTTTCAAGACGGACACAGGAAAGGCATACAGATGTACACGCTCAGACTGGAAAAGAATTTACTCAAGTCTACTGTGATTATCTCTGAGGAGTGAGGTGGCAGGTGATTTTGATTTCTTCCTACTTTTCTGCATTTCCTGCTATTTCTACTATGAGCTCATTATTTAATATTTAATAAAATTATGTAATGTTATTTATTACATTTATAAGTTACTGAAATAAATTTTAGTGGCATCAGTACCTTAGTTCTTTCTCCACTGTACAGTAGGTCCTTGAGTAACACCTGCATTATAACGTTTCCCAGGTGACTCTGACGGAAACACTGTTAAAGGACCTGCTTTGTAATTAGTTTTGCTTGAAGAGGAAGTTCCCAAGCACCTATTGGTGATGTTATGTGAAGACCTACTATATGTGTAGACCAAGAAAGACAAGGAAACAAGACTTTTAAAATGAATGATAAACTATCCAATTTAGTTTCCTTAGCCTCCCTTCCTAGGCCTTCCACTAAGTAAAAGTGGGGTAACTGTGACAGGCAGTCTTCTTTTTCTGCCTCTCTAAGCTCTTTCCCCAGGTGCCTGTATTTGTCTCCTCCCACTCTCCTGGCCTTTTGAGGAAGCCTGAGAAACTCAATCTCACTATGGTGGTATGTATGGCTTGATGCAGAACCCCTCCTGTGTGAGGGCTCAATGAGGAGGCAGTCATCCAAAGCAATGAGTAGCCAATGGTAACATTTTTGGCATCAGATAAAATCAAACTTGTCCTTCTAAAATTATAGCATGTAGGCAAGTGTTTCCTTTCATTACCTCAAAAGCCAGCTTCTGTTCCTTGATTATTATTGTTTTGAATCTCAAGGCTGACCCGATGAGAGATTCCACCTCCTAAAAGATGGAGGGCTCAGGGCCTCCCTGGTGGTGCAGGGGTTAAAGTCTCAGCACTATCAAGCTATCTCAGCCATTGTGGCATGAGTTTGACCCCACCTCCCCCACCAGGGAGCTGACCCACAGGTACAGCAGACCTCTTCTATCTTGCCTAATGTTCCCCTCAGCAGTGTATGTCAGTGGATCTGCCTGTTCGGCTCCCCACTCTGTCTCTGGTGAATCTTCTTACCTCCCCATACCTCTGCCTACATCTCAGTTCATGTGTGCATAAATAAAATAATTCTTAAAAAAAACAAAAGATGACGACGGAGGGCTGAATCTACAGCAAAGCTGACAGGCGTCTCAGCTACTGAATGACTTACTAGTTTGGAAAGCAGTATTTGGGAATCTGATCACCAGCAAAACCAGCTTTAATTACACCAGATCCCTGAGGAGAGAAAAGACAGAAAGAAAAGTCAGATGTATCACAAAAACAAAACATTTATCGTACATATAACATGGCCCATTTTAATGTAATTTGAGTGCCAGGTAGCCATTTGATGAGCATTTCTATAGAACTGCCACAGGGTGGGACTGATGAACACTTGCACTATGTACTCAAATAGTGTTTGAGTTTTCCACATTGAACATTTTTACTTTGGGGGTTAAAAATAATGTTAATAAAGGAGGGGCAAAAAGAGAAAACCTGGTAAGAGAACAGTACCCAGAAGCATCAAAACAGCTAAATTTAGGAACATCACAAGGGGGAGAAGAGCATGTGATTCCTTCAGCTCCACCACACCGTGTGTTTTTAACTTGCTCTCCCGGCTCAGGCCAAGCCCTCCTGCCCTCCAGGGACCCTGTGACAGACCCCACCGTGAGTACTGCCCTGCTGGAGGCTGCCTGCCACCAAACAGCTCTGCTTCTCACTGCAGGGACAGTGCTTTATGTTTTGTGGGGTGTTTGTTACTGTTTTGCATGTTTACTGTTTTGTTTTATTCTGTGACCTGATAAAAGAGCAAGAAAGCCCTGAAGCACTGTCTGAGAAGAAACCCAAGATTATAATCCTGCTGCTCAATACTTGGTATGTTGGGTAGGGAGCAGAAAAGAATCTGACTTCGCCCACCAGCATGGTTGGTAGCCCCAGAACCTAACCTACGTAAACACTGGCTCTAGATTTACCCCCTTTTCTTCCTTCTTATCTCTTCTACCACTACACCTGAGACCTTTGCCCTTGCACCCCAACATGGCTTGCAGCTACATGTGTGACTGGGGCAAGCCTTTTTCTGTTGTCTGCTGACCACTTCTCCTGGAGTGGAGTATGAGATTTCCAGAACCCACACAGCAAGCAGTAAACCCTTTTAGGAGATAACAGAGTTAAGGTTATCTTTGCACCAAAGGCTTCCAGCAGTACCCCTGGTTCCTTTCTAGCATATTCCTGCTTCTATAAAAGGCGGGGGGGCCCGCGGGTAACACAGACACTCCTGTTGCTTGACCTTGGGAAGAGAGGGAGAAAGTGAGGAGTGTTGAAGGCCAGGGAAAGAGGTATGGGGGAGAGCAGGGCAAGCTAGTTCACTAAGAGGCAGGAAACTGCCAAAAGAAGAGAGGACCAGGAACAAGTGCAAACGCCTCAGCCTGGATACTCCAGTGATGTGTCTGGGAAAGGGCAGCAGTAAACTGAGGGTAAAAAGAGAGACCTACTGTACCCAAGGGCTTCCGGGTAGCAGCATGGACAGTGAGAACAGCACTGTACAAGAGAACACTGTGGAAACTTGTTAGCTCAAGCTTCTAGCAATTGCTCACTGCCTTTATCTGGGTGTGGTGATGCCAAGGAGCTAATTGGCTCTTTTGGCAGAGACTGACAACAAGAAAAGTAAAGGTGAGTCCTGTACTTTGAACTATGAAAACCTTTAGAGATATTTTATTGAGATATTTCACTTTGAGTTTACTAGCAAAAGGACTATGGTTGGAAAGAATTCTTCTCTTCCTAATATCACAACATTACCATGCATATCATTCTGCTTTCATTAGAATTGACGGTTTCCATTTGTGCCTCTTTCCAATTCAAGTTCTTTGAGGTCTGAGGCTTCACATATCAGCAGTATCTGGCATTTGCAGGGTTCTCAAGTAGATATTGGCTAAAATTAAAATCAAGCACAAATGACTGGCAAATGAAGCCTAAATGGGGCCTGAATGAGCAGTTGTAATGCCAAAAGCCCCAGGCAGAGGAGGTGCAGAAAAGGCTAGGGATGATGCATAAGGTAGAACCAGATCCAGCTTGTCCTGTAGCCCCAGAGCTGGCTGTCAGGTCATCAGTTGGTGCAGAGTGGATGGGGACAGGGAGGTAGCTGAACTGCCTCTATTCTGTTCTGCAAGAGAAAGGGTCAGTTTCCTTAACAAGATTTATAGCTAGGAACTGTATACCTGCAACTGAGCTGCCAATCTCTTAGTTGTTCACTCTGGTAAAGCCAAATAAACATAATTTGTTTTTAAGGTTTGTTGAAATAGTCGTCTCACTATTTGATTTGGAGGGCTCAAGTCTGCTGCCAGTCACCACTGATCATTCTGATACAGTTTGCAAAAAAGGGGGAAGTCCTCAGCGGGGTTCTCCTAGTACCTGCTGGCTATAGCCTGTGACTTGGGCAGATTTTATCCCTAGCACTCTTGATCATTTTGGAAGCTCGAAGGAAGCTAATTGTTTCCCTCTTCACAAGTGGGAAGGTTACTGAGAGACGCCTCAGATTTAGGACAGAGGTGGGTAAGTGTTGGCTCACTTTTTGGCTCAAAGACATATTCTGTCTGACACACAAGTATTTAAAAAAAAATAACCTAATTGCGATAAAAATTCACATACCATACAATTTGCCCATTAAAGTTTCAGTGGTTTTTAGTATGTTCTCAGAGTTGTACTTGTAGTCTAATTTTATACTTTTCATCATCCCAACAAGAAATTCTGTATCCATTAGTAGTCATTCTCCATCCAGCTATCTGCATCCCAGCCAAACACTAATCTACTCTTTTTCTAGGCCAAACACTACTTTTATATCAACTTTCAACAGTTAAAAATTGGAGACTGCATATAAAATTCAATATTTCTGATTTCTCTCAATCAGAAGATCCGGTAATACCAGGTCCATATTACTGCTGGAGACAGCTGGCTCGAAGTGAGAAGCAGTTGGTCCTTGGTCAGGCTCACACAAGGTGTCTTGATTCCCCACACTACCCCCCCCCACACACACACTTATTACCCTTTTCTGTGCATTCCCAAGCAACTACTTCATGATGTTTCTTTTTTCATATATAGTATTTTATTTTTTACTCTCAGATAACCTAGTTGGGTTTGAAGAACACTCTTAGGTCTCAATGCACATATAACTGAACAATGAGAATCTCACTGTAAGTCACCTCTTCTTCACTTTTTTGTCAAGTCAGGTGTAGATTCAACCTGAATATCACATTGCAGATGATGGTGTTAAACATGTTGACTTTAGCTCTTCAGCTAATTCCAGTGTCCCTTAAACTGAAGTGAATCAGCAGTTTTTAAGAAGTGAGGACGAATTGGTTAAAAAAATGGTGATGATTAGTGAACTTTTAATATTGATGAGGTATTTGATGATTTTAAGGAACTGTTAATTTTACTAGATGGTATAGTAGTACATTAAGTATGTCTTAAAAAGTATATGGGAGAGGGAAATGAATAAGAATGTTATTAAAAAGATTGCCCAAGAATTTGTTAACTACTACAGCTAGGTGATGGATATGGATATTTGGAACCCCATCTCAGTCTAAGTCTTGGTGGCTCAACTCATAAGCCAGGTGGTTTGAATACTGTTTTTTAATCTCTCCAAGCCTCATTTTCTGTATCATGATTCCTATCAAATGTCAGCTGAATTTTAAACAGGGTGCAAAAGGACCCTGTAATCTGGTAGGTCTCAATAACTGGATGAACACTGAAATCTGCCAGGCCGCTTAGGACTGCACAAATTGGCAGTATAGCCTCAATGGAAAGACCTAGAAGGGGCACAGAAAGGTATCACCCAATCTCCGTGGGATCCACCCAACCTTTGAGTGGAATGCAGCTATTTTGCAACCACTCTCTCCGATCAAAATGAGAGCTGTAATTAGATTCTTTGCAACTGCCACTTCTGATGCATCTGCGTGGGGTACTAGCAAAAGGGAGTGGATAAAACACTTCAACCGTGCGACCTTGGACTCACTTCACTTCTTCGCTCTTGTTTTCTCATTTATAAATGATCAAATTTCCTGCCTTAACTATCTACTCAGTCTTTGTAAGGTTCCAATTCGAATATATATAAAACCCCTTAGTATACGCTAGAGCGTCTGACAAAAATGTTTAGCAATTTTCTTTCCCAGCAAATAGACATTTCGAAGAGGAAGGTACCTTCCTGCTTGCTTTGTTCCTCTCCTTTCTTTTCAACCTTTACTAAGGTCATTGTTTACATTCACAGATAGAACTGAAATCCTGTGGCCATTTGTAGTACCAGATTCTCGAGCTCCACCCGAGACACAACGCCTTGTCGCTGGGCTCTGGATCGACCCAAGGAAATTAAGCCTTTCACCGGCGGGCGGGCCCTCCTCTGTCAAGCCCCGCCACTGGGAATTCCCGAAACCAATCCCCGCAGCCCTCGCGCCTCTCCCCGCCCCTTAGAGAAGGGAAACACTATGGCGTCCCAGAAGAATGGCAGAGACGAGAGCCAATCACGGCAGAGGATTGCCCTCATCCGGCAAGGCCCAGAGGCGGGGTCATCGGTCAAGATGGACAGCCACAGCAGCCAGTAGAGTCACCGGAAACTGGGGAGCGGGCGGGCGCCGGGCGCTCACAGAGCGGTTAAGGCCCCTCGAGCCAAGGGCCTAAGGACCCGGCTCAGGCTGCAGCGCCTCCCCTTATGCACCCAAAGTTCCCCATCCCGTGGTTGCAGGCCCACCTCCCTTCTTTCGGAATATGGGCGTGGGGGAGCACGGAAGCAGCACGGCTGAGCCCGCCTGACAGGCCGGGCCAGTGACAAAGAGCCGGCGGCCCAGGTTGAAACTCGGGAAGCGATCCCTTCGGCAGGAGAGCATGAGTCCCTTTAGAAATAGGAAAGGCGCAACTCACGTTGTCGATCACTACTGGCTGGTTGGCGATTACATCGTAGGACTCCATGGCAAAGGAATCTCTCCTTCCGAGGAAGGAACTGCCAGCCCCGTCCGCTGCAAACGCCACTGACACGCCTGCGCAGTCTAGCCGCCGGGTTAGGGCGATTCGGGAGCGGCCGACTTTGCCTCGGAAGAACCACAATCCCCAGCAGGCATTGCGCCGGAGCTAGCGAGCCAGTCTGCTTCCGAGACCTGTTTCCTTCACACGGCATCCTGGGATCTGTAGTTTTCCCAGATAAATAGCGAGCGACTGAGATTAATGGCTGTATTGCTTGCCTTGATTCGTAGTCCTTAATTTAGGGGATTCGAGTGCTTGCTGAAATGTGTAGTGTTCTTGGGCACTTGTTTGTAGTTAATTTGAATTGGTCTCCAATTCATGTTTGGAATTTACAGGTCAGTCTGTTACAGGACAGGGAGAGAGAGGCACCCCTGAAACCCCAAACCTGCCAGCTCTAAGTGGGTTCTGCCATCCGCTGCATCAAGACAAAACATATAAAACTTTAATGAAAAGAGACTTGAATACAGCGAGTATATAATACAGGAGACAATGTAATGTCTAAATCAAATGCCTGAAGATACCCATCTCCTCGTGGGCAAAAGTCTACCCAAAAAAGGGATTGGCCCAAAGCAAGGCCTGAAAGCTGCCACAACACTAAAGCAGCTTCTGGCCAGGACCCATGGAAAAGGGTCAGAAATGGCCAGACAAATCTGGGAGGAAAAGAGCAAAATCAAAATCAATATAAACACTACCATAGTCACCTCCCTACAAGTATCTCATCCACATCTGCCTTAACCAGTCCAGGGCCAGGAAACAAGCCCGGTTTCTTCATCACATGCTTGCTGCTCCAACTAGCTTCCTTAGGTCTCCTTGTTCTCCATCCAGCTTCCTTCTTTTCTTCTCTCCTGATTCCTTCTCTTCTCTCCTTTTTCTCTGCTCAGCTCCACCCTCCTTCTGGGTGGAGTAGGGAACCTGAACTTCCCCTTTTCCTAGAGACCACCCTGTTACAAGTCTACCATTTCTCACCACTTCCCGTGGACAATTTAAAGTTGCCATGTTTTTATTTGGGTCTATAAGACATTAGTATTTCTTATTAACACCACACTCTACTAAAGGACGATTTTAATCCACACACATGTCTCTCTCTACTCTACCCCCTCCCCGCACATAGGTGGGGAAGGACATCACCAGAACAAAGGGAAATCATTTTAACTGTTTAAAATTTGCTCTTAAACCAAATTTGTTTTTGCCTTTTTTTTGTTATAAGCGTTTTTCCTGAATAAGAGTAAATTTTGCAACAGTCAAGCACTGGTCTAACTGCTGGTAGAAGTGGTCTGCTGGTCAGAAATGCTCTAGTATCTAAATTTCATAGGACCCTGGAATTGACATTGATGGATGTGAAAATGGAGATGAAAGATGTTATGTGTCTTGCTTTCAGGGCATTTTTCTTCACTCCCTTCAAGTTGTCAGGAACCTCTAGTCAGTAGCATTGGTAGTCAGAACTACTTTCTATGCTCTTCCCTTGGGATTTCTTCAAGAGCATTGAGTGGAAGTTATTACTATATGAAAAGTTATCGTAAACAGGAAAGGAAAGCCCAGTACCTTCCAATTTAATTCCTCTAGTGACAGAGCTCTTCCTGGTGGCACTACTGGTTAAAGCACAGCACTATGAAACTATCCGAAGCCACTGAGGTATGAGTTTGATTCCCAACTAGGGAGGTGACCACATGGCATGGCAGATCTCTCCTGACGTTGTCATTGCTCCCCTCAGCAGTGTATTTCAGAGGATCTGCCTGTTCTGTTGCCCACTCTGTCTCTGGTGAATTCTTTCACCCCCACACCTTGGGCCTGTACCCCAGTTCTTGTAAGCACAAATAAATCTTTAAAAAAAACTCCTTTAGTTACAGAGAGTCAAAGCAATGGGGAGGGGCAGGTACACAGCAGGTAATATTGGTGTTCCTTAAAGCAATCTACATACAGAACAAATAGAGATTGTCATTACTAAAGCATGTATTAGATATTCACCAAGTCTAATTACCAAGTCATTTAAATCGAGTTGGTTTACTTAGCTTCTGTTATGTTCTTTTTTAAAAAATTATTAAAAAAAAGATTTTTATCTATTTATACATACAGAACTGGGGTGCAGGCCAGAGATGCGGGGGGGTGAGAGGATTCATCAGCGACAGAGTGGGGAGCAGAACAGGCAGATCCAATGAAACACTGTTGAGGGGAGCAGAGGGCAGGGTGGGAGAGGTCTGCCACCTGGCCGGGGATCTGACTCGTGCTGCAGTGGCTGCGATAGCTTCCTAGTGCTGTGCTTTAACCCATTGTGCCAACAGGGAGGACTCTCTCTTGTTACTTTCTGACAGTTCTAAAACAGGTATTTCAACGAAAGCCCTGAAGTTAGCAGTGTTAACACTATCAGTCAATACAGTCAACGGACATTCCATGACGATAAGAACCATTAAGATTTATTATAGATTAAAATCAATGCCACCGACACACATGAATCGATCCAATTGCCTGATTATGTTTAAATTCACTGTCAGCAGAGCAACGATTAGCCCTTTGTTCGCGCTTTCCCCAGTGCTTTCGTGGGACCCTAGCACCTCAAGACACAACGTCGCTATTTACATCTGTGTTCCTCCTAACACTAGGGGGCGACCAAGAGCCTCGGAACGCCTCCGACACTCGGAGGGGAGGCGGGACCTATTGTCTAGCCACGCCTTCGCTACCTGTGACTGCCACAGCCACTGCCCAGTCAATGCTGGGAGAGGGTGCGCCGGCGCCCCGCCCCCGCGAGCGCCCCGCGGCCCCCGAGGCACCCTCTGGCCGTCTCCGCGGCGGCGACGGCCTGGGCGGACTGCGCGCTGTGCGCAGGCGCGGAGCCTGGACCTCGCTGCAGCCCCCGTCGTGTCCCGGAGTCGCACCCACAGAGTCAGCCCGCTGGCGCGTCAGTGCCTACCCCCTCGTCCGCCCTCCCGGGTTCCCCCAGTGCCCTACGCGCCCCAATGGCGGAGCTGCGGCCTAGTTGCGCCCCCGGCCCCGCCGCGCCCCCGGCCCCTGGCTCTGCTGCCCCTCCGGCCTTCGCCTCCCTCTTCCCCCCGGGACTGCACGCCATCTACGGAGAGTGCCGTCGCCTCTACCCCGACCAGCCGAACCCGCTCCAGGTTACCGCTATCGTCAAGTACTGGTATGCCTGGGCCGCGGGGAGCCGGACCGGGGCGGGCTGGGAGAGTTAAGGCGCCGCGGGCGGAGTATTTGCGGGGGAGGAAAAGGAGTCGGAGAACGGTTAAAGCACTTGGAAGGGGGCTTCCCGCTGTGAGAGAAGGATTTAGGGCTCGACTTAGGAACGGGGACAAAGGGGTTAACGGAGCCTGTGGTAGTGGAGAGCTCGCGAGGGAGGAGAGGATGAAGGGTTAACTGGGATTAGGAAAAAAGAGTGAATTGGAGCGGGTGTTGGAGCTGGGGGAACTATTGGGGTGAGGGAACTGTAAACGTGGTGAAAGGAAGGAGGGGACGCCTGTAGGGGGTCATTAGTGGGCGAGGGGAAGCCGGGGAGGGGGTGTGATGTGGGATGGGGAGGCGAGGCGGGGCCTGAGAGCATGTGAGAGGGCTTTGGAGGAGCGCGGCTGGAGCTCAGAGGGCACGGGACTGCTAGGGGAGGGGCGGGCCTGTGGACCCGGCTCCCCGAGGGTTAGCGAGGGAGCAAGTGGGGACCTTTGTGCTTGCGCGATGAGGAGACCGCCTTTGAGACCTTCCCAGTGAGCGCACACAGCCGTGCATTGCCTGTGGCTGGAAGTTTGACGGAACAGCTCCCCCGATAAACTTTCTGCTTACTCTGCACAGTTCTTTCTCCGTGCAAAGCTTCCTCCGGCGCTGCAGCTGCTTTGCTTTAGGACATCAATTAGCACCGAGGCAGGGTCAGGGAGATCGATGATTTGGCTGAGGGTTGCAGGGGGCGTGGGGGGCACAGTAAATGATGAAGACCTGGTACTTGGACTGGGAGGCAAGACAGAAGCTAAGAGCTGCCCTCCCACCAGCTTCAGGTTCACGCCAGCAGTTTCTCGGGGAAGCTGAGCGTGAGTAGCTTCCTTAAGTAGCTCTGGTGTGGATCAGACCTATTTATAGATGGACCGCCCTTGGGGTTGGAAGTGTCTTTTCTACTTTTCCAGTCCTGTTTGTAACCTGTCTCTTCTTGTAGCCTGTCTGTCATGGGGCTTCTTGAAAAGAGCCTCTTTTCCTGGTATTTTTTGTACCAAAAGTTGAGGAATTGGCTCACTGTGTAGCACCATGTTCGTGCAGGCACTGTATTGGGTGGTCCTCTTCAGGAGTCCTGAGTGTTCCAGGCAGCTGCTCAGGGTGAGGCCAAAGGGGCAGGTTGACCCTTAGAGGGAGGTGAATCGAATGGATATCTTTGCTGATTGTTTCCCTTTAAGGCTGTGTCTTGCTTCTCCATGACAATCTCTTACTTACTCTGGAAATGGCAGAAGCAGGGCTGTATAGGGTGAGGTCAGCTTCCTGTGTCAGTGGGAGGATGTTAGGACCTGACCCTGTGGAAGGCCTGGGGATGAGCCGCCTGCTCCTTAGGGAGTGTTTCAAGGAGCAACCTGCCACTGTTAGGCAGGAGTACAGTTCTTTCCAGCAGGCAAGCTGCTATAGTTGAAACCTTTTATTTTATTTATTTATAATTTTTTTAAGATTTATTTTTACTTATTTATGCATACAAGACTGGGGTGTAGGCCAGAGATGCAGGGGAGGTAAGAGGATTCACTAGAGACACAGTGGGGAGCAGCACAGGCAGATGTACTGACGTACACTGAGGGGAACAGTGGTTCAGTAGACCGCTCCTGGTCTGCGGCACCATGTGGGTCTGCGCCCTGGTGGGGGATGGAATTTGTGCTGCGGTGGCTGGCAATAGTTTGATAGCACATGACTAACCCCTGTGCCACCAGGGAGGCCCAAAATGTTTTTATTTAAAGATTTCTTTTTATTTTATTTCTATATTCAAGAACGAGGGTGTAGGCCAGAGGTGCAGAGAGTGAGAGGATTCCCCAGAGACAGAATGGGGCGCAGAACAGCCGGTCTCCTGAAATACACTGCTGAGGGGAGTAGCCACAGAAGCAGGAGAGGTCTGCTGTACCATGTGGGTTACCTCCCTGGCAGCATCCGAACTCATTCATGCCACAGTGGCAGGAGATACCTTGATAATGCTGAGACTAAACCCTGCTTCACCTTAGAGCCCCTTTGTTTGAAAGTTTTGAAGAGAGTTCCTGAGTGAAAAGCAGCTCTTGATGCCTTAATCACCTGTTGTACATGCATGTCTATATATAAATATGTATTATGATGAACGCTATTAGATGTGTCACGAGAGAGTGGGCCTGGGCCTTCCATGCTGTTTGTTCAGTTCTGTTGGTTGAATGTGAAGAAAAAATCCTACACAGACTTGGGCAGCTGTTTGTGGTGAAGAAAGGTAGAGCTATGTGCAACAGGTATTGAAGCACAGGCAAAGAACTGAGCCTGGTTTGGATTTTTCTTCTTGCTGTAAGCTTGTTAACCAAGTAGAACTTAGCTTCAGGGATATGTAAGTAGTGATGAAAATAGAAGATTTTACAGAACTTTGTGAAATTAGAAATGTTGAAATTAGAAATCTCTTTTTGAGATTTGGAGGGGTTTGCTTAATTAAGATTTTAAATTAATTAATTCATATCCCTTACAGACTTTAGTGAGCTGGGAGCAGGAGCAGAGAGACAGAGCCTGTGCCCTGGGGCCACACCAGTCCTGCTACTGCCCTGCAGAGTGAAGTCAGATGTTCAAGGAATTAAGCTGAAAGATGCTCAACATCTTTTTCTAAGTGCAGGCTATGATTATTTTCTACATACTCATCTGCTTTCCATCAGGTCTCTTGAGTAGTAGGCGCTCAGTGGTTGGGTAGTAGATTCTCTCAGTGGTTGCAAATGGGGTTAATTTTTTTCTGGCACTTGGTCATTCCCTGCAGTTGGAATTTTAAGGTGAAGTCTCCCTTCTTGCTAGAACACCTCCCAGGAGACTTGGCCAGGAAGATGACTGCGGTGTTGTGGCAGGAATGGTGGATGTTGTTTTGCCATGTGGACCCAGATGGACCTATGCTGAAGGAGGGGCTGGACTGGGAATGTGTAGCAGCCCATAGTCACCCCCATCTGTTCCAGGATTCTGCAGCTCTAGTGGGGGGTCCTTCCAGGGATTGCTACCCTTTTCTTTACTCCACCCCCGACATACTACTCTGAATCCAACTAGTTGTAGAATTAGTCAAATGATTTGGTGAAATTTGAGTTAAGGAAAAACATGGAGATTTGCTCCTTTTCCTAATCCACTCAGTTGAGAGTCTAAGTTATTTGTAGTGACTTTCCTACAAGTTCTATAAATAACTTAGCATTTCCTAGGAGAGAATTTATACAAAGGCAAATAATACCCTGGCAAAAGAGGATGAAACTAGAGCTACTGGTTTTAAATAGTGTTCAGATTGCATGGTATTGACATGCTTGCTGGGATCACATGTAATGTGTGTTTTATTTAGTCATCAGCTTATGGTCAGTATACTGATCCTAGTTGCAGAGTTCATTCATTCCATCAATGTCCCAGAGGCAGGTAAAGTTTTTGCAGTCTGTAGGAGTCTCAGATGTGCAGTGTGGCCCAAAGGCAGTGTTTGTGGGTTAACTGTGGCATCCTTTCACTGATGGCTTCTGTTTAGGTGTTTCTCAAGTCCACCAAATTTCCATATCCATTCTGAAGACAAGCAGGATTTTCTTTTTTAAAAGCACTAATTATTCTATTAAAGGGTACCCTTAATGAATTAAATCCTTAGCGTGAGGTAATGATTAAATCTCTTCCTCCATGGCCTCTCTCTTAGAATTATGGGGGAAGTGTAATGTGGTCCTCAGAGACCCCACATCTTTTCATCATCCAGCTCTACCTTGAAGACTGCTGTCTCCTGGCATCATCTTCCAGATACAGGTGCTCACAGGGCTTACCTGGCTCTTCTGCTGTTCTCTGTGCAGAGCTAAGCTAGCCAAAGTTTGGCCTTTGTCACTTGCTTGATAAAGACCACCCTTGGTCTGCGGAGAGCAGTCTGAGGTTTGAAGGCATTGGGTTTGTTTAGAACGAACTGTAATTAACATAGGGCACAATATAGTCTTTCGGGAATTTGTTGTCTAAGGCAGGAGTGAGTTAAGCTTCTGATTCTGTGAACAAGACCTATTGGGGATGCTCAGGATGGTTTTTCAGCAGAGGCCAGTGGTTGGCCTATGTACCTCTTGCCTTGAAGCTTGGCATACTTGGAGGCATTGTGGAAGAGAGATTATCCCTACTAAATCCACGTGGGATTGGTAATTCGAAACAGGAAGCAAAATGGACTACCAGCCAATCTCCTTTATTTCTAAGAGGCCCAGGCTATGGGGATGGGAGAAGAGAGTCTCTTGTGCTTGTGGAATAGGACAGGCTCTAGCCATCCATCTTGTGGTCTTATTCCAGAGAGGTATGGCCTTTCTAATTTATCTTTCACCACAGATACCTTCAGAATGGGGCCTATAGACTTGTAGGGCAGTGCCCCGAGTAGGCATTGTCTGCTTTCATGCTTACATTGACATCTCTCTGTTTTGTCTTGCAGGTTGGGTGGTCCAGACCCCTTGGACTATGTTAGCATGTACAGGAATTTGGGGAGCCCTTCTGCCAACATCCCCGAGCACTGGCATTACATCAGCTTTGGTCTGAGTGATCTCTATGGCGACAGCAGAGTCCATGAGTGAGTGTGTGCCACTTGCTTCTTCCTTAGCCTTGAAACTTATTGCTGAGGTTTTTCTGAGAGGGGTGATAAGTGCCAGAATCCTGAGAGGGGGGCATTTCTCAGGTGGAACCTCTGGTTTTCTGCCCTCTGCCTGTGTTTACTTGTGCTGAGGTGGTCCAGTCCATGCCCAAGCACTGCCACCTTGTACAGTAAGGTATCATATAAAGAACAAGACTTCTAGAACCATTGGGTTTTCCCCCTTGCTTTGGTGTTTGAACTCTGTAGCTATGACCCAGAACTTGGATTGATGTCTCTAAGTCTACTGGCTTTTCTTTCCCTTATTATAGCTTACTAAATTTTAAACATAAAGCAAAGTTGAATGAATTTCACAGGGAACATTCATAGCCAGCATTTGGAGTCTACCTTTAACATTTTACTCTTCTTGCTTTTTCATAAATATGTCTCTCTCTCTATATCCTTATGTCTACATTACCCACTTCCTTTTTACTGTAGTTATCTGTGTTCTGATTATCTGTGTTTTCTATTTGCTGCCTGTAGACCTCTAAACTGTTGGCTTTTGCTCTAGTTCCCTCTGTAATCATCAAATTTAAACAAATTTTAATATTGTTAAGGAGTCAACTTAGTATAATCAGCTAAAACAATAGCAACAGTAATAAGGACTGCTAACATTCAGCACTAATTATGAGTCATCTTCTCCTAATCATTTTATATTTATTCACTAATTTTATTTTCATTATAACCCTCTAGTACTGGTAGGTACTAATATTTGCCACATTTTACAGGTGAGGAAAGTGAGACACAAAGAGATTCATAACTTATCAAAGGTGTGGTAGAGCCAGAATTCTAATGCAGTCTGATTCCAGAATTCTTACTATTAATGACTGCCTCTTTATCAATTATATCATTTACTCCAATAAACAACAATGTATAATTTTATATATGTAATTTTATAAAAACCTTTTTTCCCTGTCTATACTCTTGTGAGGGAGGAGTTCTTCAAACTAAGGATAGTCTTTCCACCCTTCATTAGCATGGTTAACCAAAACCTGATTCTGTTTTTATTACCATATTCCCTTTTGTTTATTTGCTATATTTTTAAAAAGTACAGGGCTCTGTCTGTCCTAACTCAATATACTGAGGATGATTCTGAAGATGATGACATAATGAAGATGAGCATGGCCTTTTTTTAAAGATTTTATTTTTGTGTAGAACTGGGGTGTAGAACAGAGGTACAGAGGGAAAGGATTCACCAGAGACAGAGTGGGGAGCAGAGCAGGTAGATCTACTGAAACACACTGCTGAGGGGAGCAGCAGGCAAAATAGGAGAGGTCTGCTGTGCCATGTGGGTCACCTCCCTGGTCAGGGAATGAACTCAGGCTGCCGCAGAGGGCTGTTGTGGTGGCCGTGCTGAAACTTAACTCCTAGGCCATCACTACTAGGGACTCCCCCATTGTCATTTTTCCTTTTGACTTTATTTTCTTTTAAAGATTTGTTTTCTTTATTCATGTCAGAACTGGATTCATACAAGGCTGGATTATTAACTATCTTCCTCATTATTGTGTCAGTGCTTTAGAATCTTACCAGATTGCTTAAAGAAGGAATCTTGAGTCCCTTGAGGGGTTAGTTGCCTAAAGGTACACATCTAGATTACAAAAAAAAGCTGGGATTGAATTGAGCTGTCTGAGTCTGTAAGCCTGAGCTCCTAACCACTGGGCTCTATCACCTCTCTGATCACAGTCCCAAATCAACTTCCTCTTCTCTCTTGTTGAGAGCCAGGCCTCATCTCCTCTCTCACTGATCATGTGGCAGGAGCAATGTCTGGGCCTGCCTTTACAGCCTTCCAAATGAATCTATTGCAATGTCAGCATAAGGCTTTAGGAACAGAGAATTAATCTTGCCTGAATGGGAACGCTGCATTTCAGTATTAATAATGGAAATAGAATAGCAAACAGATGTGGGGAGTAGACTTGAATTTATATATGTATTTTTTTTAATATATGTATT